GGAGAAAGACCCTTGTGGGGGCGGTTGCCAGGCCTCCCCTCCCCCGCACCCGTCGGGGCGCTGAGTGGCCTCCAGAAGAGGAAGTTCCGCTCCCTAACCAACAGTGCAGCTGCAGATCCCAGGAGTCAGGTATTTGAGGCGTGATTGCCCTGTGGGTGGACAGTGGAGGGTGCAGCATAGGCGCCAGGCGTCTGTGGGGTGGGTGGTGAGGTGCGGGTGATTGTTGGCTCCAACCTCCTTGTTTCACCCACTGCAGATGCCTCAGCCTTCCTGAGAGGTGGGAGACCTTCCACCCTTTTGGGAAACTTCTGAGGAGACCCGCGTTTCCCCAGACACTTGCCCCCTTTCCCCCACCACCACGAATGTTAAGAGACAGTTGAATAGAGACATCCAGGAGATTAAGTGGACCTTCTACAACTTCTTGGCCCTCGCTATCCTCCTGGTGGGGGAGAGAGACCACATTTGATCATCTCACTGGGGTGCGGAAATGGAAGAACCCACCTTGCAGTTTTTCTGCAGTGTGGTTTGCGTGATCTACTCCCAGGAATGAAGAGAAGATTTGTAACAACTTGATTAAGTATATAAAGTCTAATGGCAGGAAGATATCACAGGACATAAAACTAGCAATCATTTGGAAGCCCACCCAGGTTTCCAGATGTAATTGGGCGACCATGAAAGAGATACTTTTTAAAAATCTCAACACTCCTGTGAGAGGAAAAAATTGAGTTTATCCTATTTGTTAAGATTTTGAAAACGGTTCAATGTCTAGTACATTTGTTATAAGATGAGAACTTTATAAAATGTTTTGTCCAAGAGCCTAAAGGATGACTACCCCCAGCCCTGTTGCCCCTGTCGGGATGCTGGATTCCAACTCTGAACCTGGGGCCATCCTCCTTCTCACATCACAAGCTACCTTGAGACTTTCTAAGAAGTTTATCCTTCTCCTTATTCTTAGTGCTTTCATCACCACATGTTCTGGGCAATTTCTTCCTTCCAGACTCTTCAAAATACAAACACTTTGATCTGGGTTTAGAAGATGTATTAATTCTTCATATAGATGCCTGCAAAGGGGCTAAAACTCCTGCTGTCTTCCTGATCCATGGACCTGATGAACATAGACACAGAGGAAAAGAAGACCACCATCTGAGAAATAAGATGCAACCAGATTATGAGAAGGCCCTGCAAGAAGCAAAAGAAAAATTAAAGAAGTCAAAAGAGGAAATACAGGGGTTGGGGATGTGGCTCAAATGGTTGTGCTCTCGCCTGTCATGTACGCACTGAGTTCAATCCTCAGCACCACATAATAATAAATAAGTGAAATAAAGTTATTGTGTTCAACTACAACTAAATAATAAATATTAAAAGAGAGAGCAAACCTCTGCCACCAGTCCCTATTCTAAATCTTGTAGGAATAAGTGGTGGACTAGTAGACAGTGACATAAGAAAAAGAGGAAAAATTAAAGAGATGACGAAACATGCCTGGGATAATTATAGGACATATGAATTGGGTCATAATGAACTCAGACCTACTGCAAGGAAACAACACTATACTAACATATTTGGAAGTTCACAGTTGAGTGCTACCATAGTAGATGCTTTGGATACCCTTTATATCATGGGACTTCATGATGAATTTCTTGTTGGACAAAGATGGATCAAAGACAACCTTGATTTCAGTGTGAATTCAGAGGTGTCTGTTTGAAGTTAACATTTGATTTATTGGACACCTTCTTGCAGCATATTACCTTTCAGGAGAAGAGATATTCAAGATTAAAGTGGTAGAGTTGGCTGAGAAATTCCCAACTTCTTTTAACACACCTACTGGGATTCCCTGGGGAAGGGTGAATCTGAAAACTGGAGTAGGGAGAAACTGGGGGTGGGCATTTGCAGGTAGCAGCATTCTGGCTGAGTTTGGTACATTACATATGGAATTTGTCCACCTCAGCTACTTGACAGGGGACCTGATTTACTATAAAAAAGGTTGTGCATATTCAGAAAGTACTTCAGCAAATGGATCATCCAAATGGCATTTATCCAAATTATTTGAACCCAAAAACAGGGCACTGGGGTAAGTATTATACATTAGTTGGTGGTATGGAGGACAGTATCTATGAATATAGATGGTTGATATCAGATAAAATGGATCATGAGGCAAGAAAGATGTATGATGATGCTATTGAGGCTATAGAGAAACACCTTATTAAGTCCCAGAGTGGTCTTATCTTTATTGGATTATGCAAGAATGGACAATTGGAAAAGAAGATGGGACACCTGGCTTGCTTTGATGGGGGAATGTTTGCATTCAAGTTTGATGGTGCAGTGGAGGCTGTGGCTGTCCAGCAGGCTGAAAAGTATTATATCCTCCAGCCAGAAGTAATTTAAACCTGTTGGTACCTAGGGATATTTACTCATGATTCAAGATAGAGTCAGTGGAGCTGGGAAGCAGCACTGGCTGTTGAAAAGTACTGCCGGATCAGTGGTGGAGTTTTCTGGAGTCAAAAATATATATTCCTCTACTCCTACAAAAGATGATGTATAGCAGAACTTCTTTTTTTCTGAAACATTAAAATATTTGTATCTGCTCTTTTCCAGTGATGACCTTTTACCTTTACATCACTGGGTGGTTAACAGAGAAGCTCACTCTCTGCCTGTGTTATATTTAGTTAACATCACACTTTCAAGTAATCCTGTTGTTCCATGAAAGCAGCTACAGAAGGAATAGTCTTACTTATGTTTTGTTTACATGAACCACTACAGAAACTAGTCTGGAGAAGTGGCTTTTGAAAATCCAGACCTCTAAGTCAACATGACAGGGTGAAACCTCCCTGTAAGGCTTTTCAACTTGTAGATATATCAGATTTGAAATTATTCCATTTTATACCTGACCAAAATATGTTCTGGTACCTGTAGGAAAGAGAACAGATGTGCTTTGATTCTTAATGAAGTGGTCACACAAGAAGCACTGTCTGTTACTGTTGTATTGCTAGAGCAATCCAAGAACATAGAGCACCTTGCAGGAATTAGATATGACTTTTGGAACCAATTATATAATTTTTTTCCTCTCACAGTGGAGCAGCTTTTAAATTAGATATTACACATTGGTTATTCCTATTTCTCCATTTAAATAATAGAATAAAATAAGATAAACAAAAACAAAAGAACAGTGTAACAACTTCAGTAGCAAGAAGACTCAAAAATGAAACAGAAGTACCTATCCCTGTCTGAATTTTGAAGTTCCCCATTGGATGAACAGACTGGCAACCATTTCAATCGCAATGAAATTTCTTGGTTACACTTTATTTTTCCTGGGGTATGATCTCACAAAGAATACTCTTCAAGTATTTTTCTCTATCTGATATCATTGAAATTGCTATTTATCAGGCTCTACTTAAGAGCCTGGGTTTAGGATTTTGTGCATGTAATTCACTCTAGTGTTGGTGGCATGACCAAAAGAGAGGGAAGTGCCAGTTTGTTGCTTTACCACATGTTCTTAGAGAAATCCTTGATTTTGTTGGTAAGATGTTATTCTTCCAAACCAACATAAGTACCAATTAAATTTTATCCACTTTAATCTCATAATAAATTTAATAGAGTCAGGCAGCTTACAACTTTATGTGGCTTGATAAAATTCACTATTGGTACCTAGGGATATTTACTCATGATTTACCATGCAGCTCTGAGTTTGCCATGATAAGCTAAGTTACTTTTAAAATTTAGGAAGCAAACCCCAAACACAGTGAAACTTCCTTAAACATTCTATTAGGAATGGGAACAGGGGATCCTTTATTATTTCATCAGATGACTGAGCTGTTCACAATTATTTTTTTTTTTTTAGTTTTCCAAGAATATTTATAGACTCCAAAGGGTTAATCAGAATAACTTCAAAATAATTTTGGTGAAAAGAATGTGATTAATTATATTACACTGAAATTGGTTATATCTAAAACTTTTCTTTTACTGTTAATAGATTTTGCATTGATTTAAATAAAACTATTTCTTTATATTTTGGTAAAAGAAACTTAAATTTTATCAAGAATTATATAGTATAAGTTACTATATAATGATTATAATTTCTTTGTCCCTTGAATTTCTGTGACAGTGAAAGATACTTTTTTCCTCTTGATTTAATATATTTTCCACTGACATTAATAAAATTTGAAAACAATATAACTAGTATTTACTCTGAATTTAAATATTTTATGAAACAATTTTGTACAGGAAGCTCACCTTGGAATTCTGAAAGCTTATTTCCTTATTTAGTCGCTTGATTTTTTAATCCTCTAATTAGCATGTGGTAGATTTAAGTTGAGAAAATAGTTAATAAATTAATCAAACATTTTAAAAAATATTTATTTATTTTTTAGTTGTAGTTGAACTCAATATCTTTCTTTATTTATTTTTTTTGTGGTGCTGAGGATCACGCCCAGGGTCTCACATGTGCTAGGCTAGTGCAATACTGCTGAACCACAACCCCAGCCCAAATAATTAAACTTGTTCTAAGGTTGATCATTTTATACCACAATCATCAGACAATCCTCATAGTTCAGTCAATGATCCATAAATGATAGCCACCCCAAAGTTGTTTAGTGTACATAGAAAATAAAGATGTAGAGCCGGTTTATTAAATTTCTAAGAGGGTTAAATTTCAGTATCATTACTATTTGAAAATTTAAAATTTTTGCAAAGGGTAGATGACTGTAACTTTAGAAGAGAAAGGGAATATTTGATTCTCAGAAAAAAAATTAGATTTCCTCCTAAAAGTAGCACAAGCCCACTTATGAGTGACTGAAGAATAGTAAAAAAATTGAGTTGGAGAAAACCAAGAGTATCTGTGCAGATAGCAGTAATGTCCCCTGACCATCCTTCAACCTCTCTTTCTAGAATAGTGCAGAGTAAAGGGGCTTTATTGACTCCCAAGGTGCTCCTTACCAGAGGAGACAGAACTCCTAACCCAAGTGCTCTATATTACTTGGATGACTGGAGCTTAAGAGAAGTCAAGGAAGTGTACAAGCAGAGCCAGTTCCAATTTGAGAGGGACCATGGAAGAGTCTTCTTCACCACTCCCTACCATCTTTGTGATGATAAGTCTAGGGATTATAACAGTGCTTTTTCTTCTCTGAATACTGAAGGCAATTAAAGTTAGATACAAATGACTTGTCAGTGTCATGTTTTGTTTTTGTTAAAGACTTTGTAAATAACTTTCACTGATATCAATCTTCATCCAATATTTTGCTTAGTTTCCAGGAGTGTTCTTTACTGTCTTCTGTTCTTAATTTTCCTTTGTATTTTGTAGATTTTATTACTCAGATTTGGAACTCATTGATTTATAAAACCTCCTGCAAGAAACCCAGAAATGCTCCTTTCAGGTGCCTCCTCAAAGAGCTGAACCTTCACTTTGTGTCCGTGGCACATTGTACAAAACAGCTAGATGGTTTGGTACATAAAAGAAGAAATGAAACAGAGATATCGGACACCTTCTACATTTATTTCTCTTAATATTAGAATCAAAAGTTTTGGTTCAAAAAAGACTTTTTGTTTTGTTTTATTATTTTTTTATCCAACCCGTGTGAAGTTGTTAAAACAAAGGGAATGGGCTCTAACCAAAAAGAAGTCTCATTGCAGAAAAATAAGTCCCCAGTCACAGGGTTGTTACTTTCTTGGTGGTTGCACATGTAATGTCTAGCACCAACTCATTCCTGTCATGGAGCACCTGTGTCACTATGTAAAACTTATAAACCTCTCACTTTCTCCATTCTCCTTTGCCAAAATCTTTGTCAAAATTACAAATTTGTTGAATAAAAGCTTACGCTTCCCATTCTCATTATAAAAAAAAACTGTGATGCCTCAGTTTCCCCTTCTTCAAATGGCAGAAGTTATGATTAGTAGAAATTGTAGCCCCATTTGTTTGGTGCAGACACTGACAATGTTTGCTGCTGTATCAACATTGTTATGAGAAATCATGGGGTCACTTCCTTTCTTCATATCAACCAATGGGAAAGAAGCACTCCTGTCTCTTTTTTATAATAAAAAAGCTGTATGAGTTCCTGCCATGAGGTGAGGGGACTTCTCCCTTCTCCAGTGATAGATGCGTTCAGTAGTTCCAGGATTTTCTGGGCATGCCCTTTTTATTCATTCACCTGAGGACATCTCATGGTTGGATGGCATGGAGACATTGTTGTCAGCTTGCCACTCTGCCTCCTAATTCTCACAGCCTAATGGAGTCAGGTGAGGAGGATAGCCACTGTGTCAGCATCTATAAAATGCCAACATAGTGTCTTTAGTGTCCCCAGAGAACTAATAATCTTCAAATGTCAGGTACATTCAGAGAAACAGAATTCAGGTGGTCACAGAGAGGATGCAAGGTGTGCTGGATTTTTTCTGCACTCATTTCCTGCACACATCCTGGACATTTCTCAGGCAGGCATTTCCTAGGAAGATTAGCACAGAGAAGTTTAAGTGTCTCTAATTTCGGAGACCCATCAAGGCAAGTTCCCCAAGAGACATTCAGCACCAGCTGCATCTGACCTAGATGCATGTCAAAATGACATTTCCCAGGTTGATTTCCTCTGGAAAGACTAGGGAGTCGATAAAATGAGGAGACATGCTGAGCTCAAGAGCAAAGCAATCCCAATACTAACTATACTAACTAGGCTCTCAGCTTTGAATACTCATTTCAGGAAGGCAACCCACAAACATTTTGTTTTACATTATGAATGTAATACATAGTCATTGTATAAACTTTCTAAATAGAGAAAAGTTGAAAGAAGCAATACAACACTTTATTAATACTGCCACAGTGGCCCCACACCCACCTCTGTGGATCAAGCTGGAGTATTAATTATAAAAAATTAAACTCTTTCTTTATGCATGCCTAAATATTTAATGAGAATCATTGAAGATATTCACCCAGAACTGAACTGAACAATGTGGGGGTTACAGGAGGATTTTGGTTGGGAATTAATTTTGAGAAATTTGAAAAATAAATGGGAGATCAGATAAATCAAGGGAAAAATTGACATGATAATGAAAGACTGAATCATACACCCTGATTGACAGGGACACCTATGGATAGGGGAGTTATAGGATATAATGATTCTTGAAGGATGAAAAACAGGATCCTCACAGGCCCACTTTGCCACCCAGCCATGCCCTCTGAGCACCTTGTAGAGGGAGCCCATGGGAGCAGGGGTGTAGAAATGCCTTCTGCTGCCATGCTGCTTGCTACCCTCATAATTTTTCCTGATAGATGACAGAACTTCTTTTCCACAATGATATTATGTAGCTTGGTGGGAAATTGAATAAGTTTTAATTTTTTTAAATCATATCATCCTCCTTTAACTTAGAGATATAGAAATCTTTAGTAGGTTTCCTTCTTCTAAAGACCATGATCCTACCATCCATTTATCCATCCACATACCTGTTCATCTGACCTATTATTCATTTATCTCTCTATTATTAATAATTTATGTATTTATTTATCTATTTGTCAATCCATTTATCAATCTATCTATTCACATATCTATCCATCCATCCATGTATGTATGTTAAGAACTCACAGCTTCTCCACCCTTGAGGATTATGGAATTTCTTTGGAAAAAGAAATATGAGTCCACTTAAAAAGGCAATTGAATGGTGTAAGGCAATGCGTTGTCAAGTACTTTAGACAGTTGGAGGTGGTCAGAACAGGCTGTCTAGAGGAAGTAATTTATAAACTTGCATACTAAACAGATTCCTAACTTGATGTCCAAGATTGAGGTCACAGGGCTCCATGAATACTATGATATTGCATCCAAAAAGACGAGAAAGTAAAAGAGAGGCTACCCTGGACTCATCCTCACCTGGCCTTCTATCCTGGCCTCTCTGACTCTGTTAAGTAGCAGATGAGTGACAGATGAGCTTCAACTGTGCTCAGATGGAGAAAAAGTTTCTCAGAAAGCATCTCCAGCAGTGTAAAGAGAGGCCGGATTTAGATCTGACATCCAGGAAAGAACTGGAGCTGAAATTAAGAGGGGAGTTAATAGGCTTGGAAACACAGGTGTTAAGGGGTCGGTAGATGAGTGATCCATGTGTTGGGGAGGGAGGAGAAGAGGAGAAAGAAACCACCAGCCATTTAATGGTTTTCTACTTCTGCAGCTGTTACAAATTATGGAAACTGTGAGACATGAAAGCCATTTTTTTTCTAACTGTGGGTCTTTTGTTCAAGTACAGACTGCTTTGTGGTATTTAGAGAATAGACATTAACTCAGAATTTTCTGAATTCCATTTCTACCTGATCCTTGTAAAAAACACATTACCTTATGGGCCTTAGATTCGCTTCTTATAGAAGAATATACTTCTAAAATAATCATATTAACTACTCCCATTTCCTCTCTTCTGTTGTTACCTCCATGTCTCATCTAGACTGGAACAACAACTATAGCATTTCTCTTGACTAAAACACTCAGGGTCACTCCAGGTGAACTGGGCTGCTTGAAATAATCATACAAGAGACAGAGATACCTTTTCTTTGGGTACTGTGACAGCTCCTCTGAACTTAAGGGTCCACAGAAAGAGAGAGAGCACATGTTTCTCCCTTTTATTGGGGAGAAGCCATTCAAATGAGGCAAGAGGTAAGGTTTCAGGGGGTTGAGTCTAGCTTCATAATGTTCGCTGTCAGCAGGTTGAATGACATCTAGGAAGGCCACACTCAAAGGCAGAGCAAGAGAAGGGGAAACACAAAGGGCACTTCCATGGAACATTCTATACCAAACAGGACAATGAGGTAGTATTACAAAGGAATAGGTGAGTATAGGTCCTGAAGACATGCCTTCTACTTTCTTGGATAACACCCAAGTCACCATGAAATGTAGTGGTCCATCAGAGCCTCTTGCTTCAAGATGGAAGGCATGGGTCCTTCAGAGTGGCTCACCACAATCAACCTACTAACTAGTTTCTTTCCTCCAGCCTCTCTCCTCCACCCACTTCCATGATGCAGCCCAGAGATCTTCAGGAATCTCTTTCAGATTGTTCCCAAATAACATGCTATGGTACTCTCTAGGTGGATTTTCTTTTTTCTCTTATTTTGTAAATTTAATCCAAATTTACAGTAAGAGAGCTTATCTCCAGCAATTTCCTCTGCTCCCTCCAACATAATTCTACATGTTCTGCATTGTGGAATTTTAAAAAAACTCTTCATTGATAGTGATGTCTCTGTGTATTTAGCTGTTTTTAGTGCGAGTTTATCTTCAGTAGGAGATTTTTTTTTGAGACTTTTTATTGTTTTTGCTGGGAGTCCTTTGATAGTGGGTCATGGGAGAATTCTACTAGAAGAAACACTTTTGTCCTTTCTTCTGAAGAATTCCCTGAAATGACATTGTATTTGCACTGGCCTCAGATTTTTGTGAGATATGAAAAAAATGTTGATATCTAAGCCCACTAGGCCTAGAACTACAGTTTTGATTTCTTATGAAATGAGTTTCTTCCCTACCTGGAGCTAGAGTAGAAGCAAGCTTTCTTACCACCTGCCACTCCAGTGGGTAGGACTTTTCTTGTCCCTTCCCCATGAGGCAGAGTTCTTTGCAGATCCTGACTGTGCAAGAATCTCCATGCAGTGTTTCTCACCTTCCGTGGGTCCACAGGCTTCCCTCCTGTTTCTGGAAATTAAAACAGAATTACCCTTGCTTGGAGGATGTTCCTGTTTGCCATATAGTATATCAGATTATTGTTCTGACTTTGTGCCTTCTGTATTTCCAGTATCCTGAAATTTCCATTTCTTGAGAAAAAAAATAGGTATGAATGATACAATGTAGTCGTACTTCTATATAATATAGTCTTATACAAACTTTCTGAATGAGCATACAGACAGCATAACTCCTGTACCTGTCTCCCATTGTCCGTGGTTATCTCTGGTCTACATTCTAATAGTCTACACTCTTAACTAATGGCATGCTGGTCAATGCCTCAAGCAGCCTGGACTTGTAGCCTTGCCAATTTCCATAGTGTAAATACTTCTACCTTCACCTTTTTCAAATGGCTATCGTGGTGTCACTGGACATGGAATTTGGAAGACACATGCAGAATTGTCTCTTTCTGGCATAACTGGACTCGGGTTTGGCTATTACTACCTGTTCTTAAAGTTGTCAACTTAAATGCCACTCTTTGAAAGTCTTCACTAATGCAGATTTTAGTCCCTGAATTATTTTCCTAAACCTAAGCATTATTGTGCTGTATTGTAATTATCCATTTATTTCCCAGACTCTACCATTGGATGGAAAAGCCAAGGTAGTAGAGATTCTAATAGGAACCTGTCTTACTGTTATATCCACAATCACCCAGCAGAGTTTGGCAAGTGAGGTCAGATGGTGTAAGGGTACGGCGAAACGTCGGAGTAGAGACCACAAGAGACTCTCTTATGCAACAGCAGAAGGGTGGGTTTATTTGGAGACCAGCATGCTAGGGCTCCCTCTATAGCAAAGAGAGATAGAGCCCTGAGAACAGCTTGAGCAGAGCTTATATACTTTTCTTGGAGAGGGCAGGGAGGGAAGTTCATTGACAGGTCAGGGCGAGTGGGCAGCTTGCCTGCAACCGAGTGAGGGAGTGCATTCTGCAGCTTGGCAGTTGGGGACAGCACATTCTGGGAACAAGATTAGCAAAAACAGTTCTCAGGAATTAGCAAAAACAGTTCTCAGGATTTTAACAGTGTTTGTTAAGCATATAGAAAATCGGAGTGACAAGTACCTATTTTATTAACCTTTCAATGGGATTCCATGATCTACAGAAATGAAACTCCCTGTTCTCCCTGGTGATGTGATAGTTTTAATGGTCATTCCCAAGATGGACATATTACTATAATTCTCAACAGACATCCTAAACTGTGGACACACAGAGAGCCGAGTGCTGAGAGACTCCAGCCATAAAATGAGAGGTATGCCTTCATCATCCCCAGTTTTTTTTTTTCCAGCTGTGATGTTCAACTCTGGCTTCTTGCTCCTGTTTTGAGGGTCTGAGCTCTCTGATGGTAGGGTTTGGCCTCTGGAACTGGTACTGCAAGAACAATTCCATCTCTTTGGGACTTTCTTTCTACCCCTTGGACAGAAGCTCTCATTTCAGGGACTTAAAAATCTCCCATGATGCACCCCACCAATAGTCCTCTATTTCTTTACATCTGTGTTTCTTTCTCTCCAAAGGAACCTGTCTCTCACAGCCTCCACTTCTGGTCCCACTTCTGGGCAGAAGCATCTTCTAATGCTAACATGCCCTGGTAGGCCTTACATTTCCAGGTGGAGTAGCATTTCAGTAGGAGCCAATGGAAGAGCAGAAGTCTCAGGCTAAGTGTGGAAATCCAGGAAGAAAGACAGTTGAGAGGAGAGATCTGGATGTCAGTCACCTACCTTGAGGATCTCTGAGATGCTCTAGCACATTGTAGATGCAGCTGCCAACTTAGTTTGCTGGACCAGGATGCTGTGGTGTCCACATACTCTTCATTTCTCATCTGCACCCTGCCTTCTAAATTCAGAGGGGCCTAAAATGGTCCCACAGGGAATGGGGTTCCAGTTGCCATGGTTGACTCATGGATCACAATGCTCAGTTCAAGGCTGATAGCACTCTTGGGGAATTCTGTTGCTAGGCTTGCTGACTGCCACAGCCTGGACTTCAGGCCTACCCTGGATGGTGTGAAGGGGGTGGGCAAGTCTGTCTGGCCTTAGGGTAGGATTTGTTTATGTGTTCTAAAAACTGGGGTCTGGAGAAGACTTTTGTTTGCATCAAGTGGCCTATTTACTCATTGGCTTCTCTTCAATATCACTCACTGACTCCCTTTGGCTTTCTTCACCTGTTCAAGGGCATGGACAGGTATATGGGGGGTTAGTAAGAAACTAGTGTATCTGGGTTTAAGCTCACTACCACTACTTTGGGATTCAAGACCTAATCACTCTCTGAACCTCAGGCTTCTCCTCTGGGAAAGGGTATCTTTCTGTATTGTTGGAAGGACTCTGGGTGCCCCAGTACATGGCCTGACACATGGTACTCATGGAACCTCACTATCCTCCTCTCACCATATTTTCAGGGAGAGCAAATAGCACTTCTGGAATGATGTCATCAACAGCCAATCAGAAAGCTCCTGGGCTGGTCCAACAGGAGGACTCACTTATGTAATGTAATTGGCTTTCTTAGGAGTCTGAAATTTTGAAGGACCAGCTGGTATCCTGGCACATGGAATAAACTTATAACAGGAGCACTATCTTGTTACCAAGGTCCAAATTCCAGGAGCCACATCAAGTTCTCTGGAGGATTGGGACTTTTTGTTTGTGACTCAATGTTCAACCTTACTCTGCCCTGGCAAAGGGTCTTCTCCTGGTGTCCTCATCCAAGAGCTGAGTCCACAGGGGAATTATGGAAAGTACAGAAAGTTCTTACCCCATGGTACTAATCCTGATGTGTCCTAAGAAGAAACCCAGTGGCTCTCATGAGCACCGTCTCATCTTTTTATCTTTGTGACTTCTGCCAGGAGAATAAAGACAAGATTTCTGGCATCTTATAAAAAATTAGTAGACTTTAATTTGATAATAAGCACATCAGCCAGATGACATGGAATGAAATATAAAGTGTAGAACATCCTATGTTGGCATGGAGACAATATATTGTGTATGAGTGTGTGTCCATACATATGTGTGCATGTACATATGTTTGTTCTTTGGCCAGTGAATTTTAGATGCCCAACCCAGTAGAGTTAATGAGTCTTGATGCACATTGGTCAATCAGATATATTATCTCTCCCCATGTATACCTATATATTTTATATAGCTTCATACATTACATAAACATATTGATTTTTATTCTATGTCTACTCAATTTTCATTTTATGTTGTTTATATAACTTTGTCAAGTTTTTAATAAATATTCACAAACACTGGGTAGGTGCTAAAACATTCTGTAATATTCCAGCTTCTGGACAAATCCACAACCTTCCACACTAGCACTGAGCCAACCCCCTCTGGCCCTACCTCCTACTCTCTAGCCCCTCCCAACCCTCACTGGTTCTGCCTCCTCCTCTCCAGTCCCAACCACTCCTGCCTCAGTTTCTCCTGCTCTGGTTCTATGACATGTGTTTTGCCTTGACATGTTCAGGACCAGAGAGAGTCAATGTTGAATAGGAGTCTTCTGGAGAAAGTGTCACAGGAGAAACAGCAGTGTGCAGTAGGAGCTGGGGCAGCTGCACCAGCAAGTCAAGACAGGCACTAGAAACACAGAGCTGGCAGGGCTCCTGGGGGCTAGATCTCCTGAAGCCCCATCATGCACCTGCTACAGATGGGAGAGAGTCCTGCACAGGTGCTCAGGTCTATCAGGTATGTGGAGTCAGGTTCTAAGTATGTCTTCATATAATAAACTGTGGTCATCCCATTGACAATAAGACCTTCAGAATTTGAGGTCATGATCTTGCTCCAGTTACCTGCACAGAGTCTGAGGGGTCTACTTGGGAGCCACAACAGGCCCAGCAGAAAGTTAGCTATCACTGTGTCCAGGAGCAAAGCTCTGTCACAAAAAGACTGTAATGCAGAGGAATTTTGCTGAAATATGACTTGGGTGCCTCTTCAGGCTCGACTATATCCTCCCATGGGTCCCTATTGCCCCCAGGATCTCATGCCCTTTAACCTGGCATTCAGCTTCCTGTGGCCTAACCAAATATTCTTCCATGCTAGAGCTGACTTTGTTACTCAGAAGGGTCATTTCTGGATATGGCAGCTTCTTGATTCAATGGCTCCTTCCAGCCCCAGTGGGCATATAGTAAAGTTTTAGTTGTAGGTCTGTGCTTCTCTTACAAATTGCGCAGATGCTTCCGTTATATGCTCTAAGATCTAACTCTAGGGTCTGTGGCTTGTCCTCCCCCAGTTCTTTCTCCCTCAGTGCCCAAAGAGTGGCCCTTGCTAATGTTCAACCAGGGCTCAGTGAGGGACTTGAGCTTCCAAGAAAGGCCAGTGGAACACTCCAGCCAGAAGTTCACAGAGACCTCCATAGGGGAGGAGTTTCCAGCTCATGTGACTTAAGACCCTGTTTCCTTTGTCTCTCAGCATAAGGAGCAGGAAACTGTGTAGTTGAAACAGAGGTGGAGATGCTACAGAGACAGAAATAGGAGCTGCTGGAGTTATCCTTTATGAGGAAAGATGGCATTACTGGCTTGAAGTTGCAACTGTAGAACCTGGATTCCAGCAATATTGAGCAAAAGAAAATCCAGAACTACCAGGAAAATACCATCAAGCATCTGAAGCTAAGGGCTGAGGGATGAGCCTTGTCTGGGGCAACATCCTGTCATTTGCTCCATGAAATGTGGAGTGCTGTCATATGTCATCTCCTCTGCTGCTTCTCATTCTCCCATAGCTCTATATTACCCCAGAACACCACCTAACTCATAAGCTTGAAGTTCAGAGCTTTCATGATGTAGATCTCTCCTGCCATCCTGCAAGGTCAAGGTTCTCTAGTATTTTTGTAAGGGAGATGTGAGTTCTTTCCCCATTCTACAGAGGTTAAAGTTTGGTGAAATTTGGAAATGGAGTCTTCTGACTCCTGAGAGCCTTGGATACTGACTGGGGTGAAATTTGGAAATGGAATCTTCTGACTCCTGAGAGCCTTGGATACTGACTGTGGGCACAGCCTCCAGGAAGATTGGCATTTTTGAAAAATAGAAACTAACAAAAAAGAGTAAGAAACTAGTCAGGACTATCCAATACTCTAGTAGCAGTACTGACAATGAAGCAGATGAGTATATTTTGTTTGCTTGCTTATGTCTACATCTACCTCATTCCAACAAGCTTAGGAAATAGCTTCTAAGTATATGCATAATAATGATAAAATTCTAACTAAAACATTGTGGACTAGAGAAGTACAAACAAAAATAGACACTAAAGAGAGTGTGGGGAAAGTGAGCCAATAAGTGATAGGCAAAACATGTGTTCTTACACATGTGACAGTTTTATCTCTAAAATTCCTGGTGGCCAGAGAGAAAATGAAAATGTGAGGTCTACACTTATTTTTCTTATCCCCAAGATAAAAAACAAAAATAAAACAAAACATATTTTCAAGAAGTGACTTCTGAGGCTCAGCACTAAAAGAATTTTTCATGTACAATATGCAAAAGGTAATTATGTTTAAAAAGGCTGGGAGCCTCTTATGCAAGAAAATGTGACTGAGCAACATGAACATGTAAAGCAGTTGGACTCTAAGCAGCTCCATGAAAGCCATGGTTCCAGCCCTTGCCTCTCACCCACACTTTCTGCATCTGGCAGGTTGGAGCTTCCTGAGTAGGCATGTTGGGTCTTGAGATTCTTGGACTCTCATTAAGGAGAATGAAGAGGGCCTGGATTCCTCTGACCTTTGGCCACTCTTTTAAGGCCTTGCCTGCGGAAGATCTCCTGAGCTTATATTGAAAGGAGATTCCACACCACTTAACGGCTCCTAAATGAATCAAAACCCACAGTGTCAACTTCTTCATTCTTGAAATATGAATCAAGAAGCCTGAATCTGCTGCTACACTGTCCCCAATGGCTCACATTCCTACTAGAGCATTTCTTTCTGCTATTTTACTTTAATTTTTTGCCTCTACTTACATTTCTGATCATATAATGGTCTTTCAAGATCAAGAGGCATGTTTTAGTCTTCTTAGTCCTGAGCCCTTAATCAGACACAAGAAAGCATTTTATAAATGTATCCTGAATGTATTCCTAAGCAATGAACAGTAGTAACTGAGTATAACTGATAGCTTCATGTTTTAGAATGGGGTAAAGCAGTGCTACATTCATGGCCATTCTAGAAAAGTCAGTGGAAAACTTGAAAAATGATGTCAGATATTGCTGCTGTTTTCTTTACACCAGCAGAAGGCATGACCAGTCTCCCCCCTCCCCCACCCCCATGAAGTCTGGGTTAACTAAGGGAAAAGTTGGGTATCCTGGGATCCCAGTGTTCTTGTAAGCCCAGGCTGCAGCACACATTTGTCCCCTTGGGTCCACCAGGCATCTTTCATGTGCCCTGAACGTGATGGACACCAGGCTAAGGGTTGTGAGAGATACAGAGGTAAAACGTGCAAGGGCCACCCTTGTGGAGCCTGTATCTACCCAGGGCACAAGGTGAGCACCCACAAAACCAGGACCAAAGCTATGACAGCAGACTTCATAAGAAAGAGACAAATCCTAGATTTTAAGGATTTCTACGGAAGGGGAAATCAAATTCTGGTGTGGAAAGGAAGTTTAGGGATGGCCTGGTGGAGAAATTTTGTTCTTTGGGGTGGGTACAATTTCAACAACAGAAATTTGGCAGGGACTGCATGCGTGAGTGTGGGAAAACACAGGTCCAAGTTGTTCCAATTGTTGAGAAAAGTGGGAACAGACCCTGTTAGTCATCTTTTCATCGTGGGACAAAATATCTGAGATAAACAAGTCATGAGGAGCAATGGTTATTCTGGCTCAGAGTTTCAGAGGCTCCGTCCATAGTCAGTTAACCTGGTTGCTTTGGGCCTGTGGCAATGCAGGACAGCCTGGTGACAGGAGCACATGGAAGAGGAAGACTCTTGTCCTCATGGCAGCTGGAAAGCAAGGAGACAGAAACAGGAAAGAGGTGGGATCCCACTGTCCCCTTCAAGGAAACACCCTCAATGACCCAACTTCCCTTCACTAGGTCCTATATCTTAAAGGTCCCACAGCCTCCCCCTGATAGTACTACAAGGCTGGCAACCAAGCCTCCAACACATGAGCCTTTGGAGGCCATTTCCAAACCATAGTGCAGGCCAGGAGGGTCAAGTTGCCTCAGGCAGAGTAAGAGAACAGACAACTCGGAGGCCAAACTCACTCAACATGTATGTTTATTACTGAGCCCAGAAGCACCATGGAGGTGATTATGTCCGAACTCTCTTCAGGTCGAAGCTCACACAAGATGTCCAAGATATGGATGTCGTGGCTTTCCAAGGTCATGCTGCAATGGGACAAGGCACAATG